AATTTCGCGCAATAGAAGTCTACCTGTGCAGAAAAAAATAACTGTGTGTTAAAAATTAGAAGTCTACCTGTGCAGAAAGAAATAACTGTGTGTTAAAAATTAGAAGTCTACCTGTGCAGAAAGAAATAACTGTGTGTTAAAAATTAGAAGTCTACCTGTGCAGAAAGAAATAATTGTGTGTTAAAAATCGATCCTATGCTACACAACTGGGGTATTATGTGTTGTGACCACCTCAGGGATCGAACCCCCTAATGTTACCGTTATAAATCCTTAAGCTTACCCGCTGAGTCACCGAGAGGCAAAAATCGATGGGGATTTTGAGTTGATGATTTAAAACGTTGCTAATTTTAAACTTTCATGTGTAAAGTAATGAACACTCATACGTGTGTGTACATGAAAAAAGGGGGGGATCTTGGAATAGTTTGTGTGACCACTCCTTGACTTTACAAGTTTTGTAGTGTTATTTTGTATTTTAGAGCAACACATTATGTAAACACAATATGTAAAGTTGTTGTACTCTCACGCTATGTATTAATAGCCACATGAAGACAGGGACTGACAATGTAATGGTAATAACATCTTATATCCCGAGGACTGAAGACAACGTTTACGATGGACTTTCTACCATTTAGGGGATTACAGGTAATATCTGGTAGCTATCGGTAAGTTGCATATGTGTGTGTATCATAAACAGGCCAAGTGTATCTTAACGAGTGTGTAAGTTGTTTATTATATGTGTGTATCATAAACAGGCCAAGTGTATCTTAACGAGTGTGTAAGTTGTTTATTATGTGTGTGTATCATAAACAGGCCAAGTGTATCTTAACGAGTGTGTACGTTGTTTATTATGTGTGTGTATCATAAACAGGCCAAGTGTATCTTAACGAGTGTGTAAGTTGTTTATTATGTGTGTGTGTATCATAAACAGGCCAAGTGTATCTTAACGAGTGTGTAAGTTGTTTATTATGTGTGTGTTTGTATCATAAACAGGCCAGGCGTATCTTAACGACTGTGTAAATTGTATGTATTTGTGTGTATCATAAACAGGCCAGGCGTATCTTAACGAGTGTGTAAATTATATATATATTTGTGTGTGTTTGTATCATAAACAGGCCAGACGTATCTTAACGAGTGTGTAAATTACATATATATTTGTGTGTGTTTGTATCATAAACAGGCCAGACGTTATCTAATAACTGCGTCATAATATTACATTTAACGATACTTCAGAGCATGCGTTAGAACTACAAGGCTAAATCTAGACATAACAGGTTTGCACCTACTTTATAACTTTGCGCATTTATTAAGAGAGAAAATTGGCATGTGTATCCAACTGCGCGTACTTCTTACTTACGTGAGGTGAACCACGAGGCTTAAATCACGTCGGATTGAATGTATCCTCCATTATTGTAAATATTCATACAAAGTTATAATATTTAAAGAATGCTTTTCAATGCTTTATGAGAATCGACAATTTTAGGACACATATGGCATAGCGCTTTGAAGTTTCAAGCCAAAATTATACGTGATTTTGTGAAAAACGCTAACGACAGATACACTTCATTTGGCAACAAATATCTGCCCGCAGATACAAGCGTATATACGTAAGGTTTTAAGGTCTTTGCATTTATAGCCTTTTTTCTTTAACTACAACGCCCAAAACCTTCCGGTTAGCTCCATACACAATTTTCCATCCCCACAAATGCGTTTACGTACTGCTGTTTTACCTATTTGTCGAGTTGAAAAGTAGTAACTGCCGCTTGTCTCAATTAGCCGAGGGAACGCTAGCGGTCGGTCGGCTCTTCCCTCGTTCAGCCGTTTGGTGTATGTACGCCTTCGGGTTTCTTTATGTAAAGCTGTCCTATTGACGCGTGAAAACACTGGGTGTTAAAAATATAAGAACTTATACGTGAAAGTAAAGAAAAATGTAACAGTTAAGTTATTGTTTTAACGAGGTTTACTTGCAGATAGCCGTCCAAAATTGGAACTGATGAATTGGGGAAGAGGCAGTTAGTCAACAGCATCCACCACCAGCTCTTGGGCTATTCTTGTTCTGTCGTCACTCTTTATAACGTACCCATGGCCTAAGAGGGCGAAGCCCCCTTTTGCGGATTGGGTTCGCTAACCACGAACTTTCGGATTCACAATCCGAGCACGCTAAATACTGGGCCACCTCCAGATGCAGTCTTAAAAAACTCATAAGTCCCTGCACAAAAACGAGTAAAAGCATATATATTCTGAGGAAAATTAAATAGATACTCCCTAAGATTAATAGATACTCCCTAAGATAAATAGATACTCCCTAAGATTCAGGTACACCGTCCCTTATTTTGAACTACTGACCAAAGGTAAGAGCCAGTCAGCAGCGCATCTCGTCACAAGGGCTTAGAAATGTTGACAGTGACTTTCATCCACCCATCCACAACCGAAAACGCAGAGCATATTCGGTGACATAACGTCTTGAACCCCGGATTTTCGATCCGCAGCCCGACACATCAACCGGTAGGCCGCGTTCGGCTCGTAATTTAAAAGGTAGACGTAGAAACTGGATTTAAATATCTTAAATATATTGAGTAGCTTCTGTATCTCTTCCGAAATGAAGAAGACAAAATTTACGTAAACGCGTGTTCGTAGATATAATGTATGTACCGAACTGTTTATACTGATATACTGTGAGATATATTCTCGAGAGAAAATAGCAATCAGATGATTCGATTGCTGGCTCGTCAGTTTTTCTGAAAAATGATTAAGTCAATTCAGTAAGAATACTTTAATAATAATAAATAACGGAAGTTAAATAATAAAATATATTGTTAAAATGCCTTGCCCTAATTCTGATGTATAGTGACGTAATGCATAGATTGATAAAATCACACTTCACCAAATCAACCCAGTTCACACTGAAACGGATGTTATTTTCAAGCAATGTGATTACATGAATAGTGACTCAACCATGCACTACCACATCAGTCGTATCCCAACCAGTCCGAAGAGCCCTGGTATTGGGCGAAAGGCATCGTCAGCACTATATATATATATATATAACAAATATGGCATAGTTGATGTACTATGATACGATCTTCTTTATTTTAACCCTGAACTTCTTATAAGAACTGCAACTTCACGATAAACATAAAGCTATTGTGATAATATTTTAACGATAAGCAGTAGTATGTTATATGTTGTTGTTTTCCTATTTGACAGATTAACACTCGAATTGAGTATGTTCCATTACATCATTATTTACTTGTGCAATAAATTGTCTGTTGTTTTACATCGCGACGCTGAACAAGTTCTACATCCATTCAGTGCATATTTCAACCTTTTGTTCAGTTGGACGAAGAATCCTCTGTCTGTCAGCACGAAAGATAATCTGCCAAAGAAACCACACACGTTTCTAACAATTTATCTGTCAACTGAATGTCAGCACGAAAGACAACCTTTAACTGTCAAATGGATAAACATTTTGAATAAAAAAAAAAACACTAACGAGACACATGTTTGTGACACACTGTCAACTGAATACATAATCTACCCGAAAAATCGCTAACAGGACCCATAATTGAGGCACAGTGACTCTACTGGTCAGATAATTTGCCCTAAAAAAACACTAACAATTCACGTGTTTTTATCACATTGACTATGAACTGGTTGGATGGTATGCCAACTAGATACACGTTTGTGACAGGTTGATTGTCAACTGGATAGATAATCTGCACGAGTCGGAAACATATTTATGACAAGCTGTCTGTCAACTGGTTGGATAATCTACACGAAAGAGTATTAACGAGACACGTGTTTTTTGACAAACTTAGTATGGTAATCTGCGTGCAACACGTTTGGTTCACAATAACTGTCGATTGGATATGTAATTAACTTGCACATAAAAACATCAAACCAGTTTTGCTTTTTTTCTACCACATGCTTGTTTTTTTTTTCTTCTTAGAAATGACGCTCTTGTCTGGTCTCACAAATTATTTATATATATAGGGGGTGGGAGGTTAAATCAGAAACAAAAATCACGAACATAGAATATTACTTTTTTACCTATATTATACTATCTATTCGCCGTAGAAAAAGAAGCATTGTCTGTACGTTTAGGCTTGTGTAATAAAAAAAAAAACAACGTAAGTGTGTCCCTACCTTTTTTGATTGGACTTCCTTTCGAATCCACCGCAGTTTCGTTGGTAAGCCTAACGTGTGTTGATGCTGGACTACTCCTTGAATGAGAAGAGGTCACAGTTAATGCAGGAACGGCAGAAAGGCTGGTGGCGTGAGCAGAGGCAGAGCCTATCAAGCCGTCAAGAGTGTAGGGGAAGCCCGAGGCCGCACCTGAGAAACCCCCGTGCGAACCAGGGTGAGTATGTCGGTAACCGTACGGGTGTGCTAAAGCTACGGCAGCGTAGCTTGCCAGAGGAGCTGCGAAATGAGCGTAGGGAGAAGGGATTGGTCTTCCGAATCTGGCAAACAAGTGGCTATGGCTCTGTCCAAATGCCGAATCTAACAGTCTAGTATCCATTTTTATCTTTACCAATAATTCTACGTTTATTCGTTCTGGTAAGGTCTGGCTCTAAAGTGTAATCACAGAGAATTAGCGAAGGAAAAATGATGGCCAGTTGGCGGCCACCGACTACTATTCATACTTTAGCGTAAGCTACAACAATGAAGACCCACGTTCACCCGTGGTGACTGTTGTGTATCATTCTTCCTTCTGCCAATTTCACCCTAAGAAACTGTTTCTTCAAACCAACTAGTCCCCACCACACACACACAGTTATCACCCACTAACTTGCGTCGATAATCAACCGTTGGCATAGCAACCTGTCAGGTCCATAACTCTCTGAGAGCTGCTAGAGCTTGCGCTTAGTAAGTCTGCGCAGCGGTTGTCGCTAATCCATCTGTGTCAAACCACGCCTATTTTTAAGGCGTGCCCAGGATCATCCAATCATAGGAAATCCTAATGAATAGGCGGTTGAAAGGTAGTTATGATAGATTAGAAGGGCGTGTTCAACAAGAACAAGACAAACAAACGCAAATTATCAATGTATCCTTGGTAAGAACGAAAAATAATCAACAAGTGGATCTTCGCAACTCGGTTAACAACTTTGTTTCGAAATGAAACTCCTGACATTCTTGCCACAAAAGTAAACACTAATAAATGTCGATTTTGTTTAAAACATCGGACCAATAACTTTAATTGTATCCTACTGACACCAGTGACTTAACCAAAAACGCAGTAAAGTAAATATTACTGCGATCATCTGAGAAGGTGAGGTAGTCAGAAGTACGTAGGTAAAGTTTCAACTTCTAATGTAGTTAAAATAAGTTAAAAAAACATTTTAACACCACCGAGGGTTAACAGGACTGAGCATGCTGTCTGTACGACGATTTTACTTTACTCGTGGAAATCCTGAAGCTGTGATATGATTTGATTAAGGCATCGGTATGACCAACAGTTTGAAATAATGTGACGATAATCCGAATATATTTCTTGTAACTGTTTGGTGAAACTAGTATTAAAAATGTAAAGCTAACCAGTCCTACCACCGTTGTAAGTATTTCAATATATATAATTAAGCCCTAAGGCTAACGAGTCCTACCTCCGCTGGAAGTCTTTTAGTATATATGATTAAGCCCTAAGGCTAACGAGTCCCACTTCCGCTGGAGGTCTTTCAGTATATATATCATTAAGCACTAAGGCTAACAAGTCCCACTTCCGCTGGAGGTCGAACAGTATATGTAATTATGCCCTAAGGTTAACGAATCCTAATTCCGCTGGAAGTCTTTCAGTATATGTAATTAAACCGTAAGGCTAACGAGTCCCCCCACTTCCACAGGAAATATTTTGGTATATATATTAAAGTCCTAAGGCAAGTCTCACTTCCGCAGCAAACCTTTCCGTATATATGATTAAGCCCTAAGACTAACGATTCCTACCTCCACTGAAGGTCTAACAGTATATATAATTAAGCCCTAAGGCTAACGAGTCCCACTTCCGCTGGGGGTCTAACAGTGTATATAATTAAGCCCTAAGACTAACGAGTCCCACTTCCGCTGGGGGTCTAACAGTGTATATTTATAATATAGCCCTCTGCATATTAATAATTTTATGTCTAACATTTACGTTATTATATTTACTGTACTATGAAGAGATACAATAACAATAAGTATTGTGTTTCTTCTTTTAAGTGAAATAGTTTCGTATTTTGTGCATTGAGGTTTTATACTTTTAACTTCCGTGCTTTTCAAATACACCTCGTCCAAAATTAGCCCTACTTTTACGTACTTCATATACCCAAAAGATTAGAAAGAAACAACAATGCAATGTTTTAGGGTTACGTTTCAAAAAAATGTGAATCTCTTAAAGTGTCACGGAATTATTGAGGTCAGGTCAACTAGAATGTCGAATCTTGGAGTTATTATTAACCTTGACCTTTATTGATAGCTTCAGGTCAACTAGAACGTCGAGTCTTGTAGTTATTCCTAGTCTGGACCTTTATTGATTGCTTCAGGTCAACTAGAACGTTGAGTCTTGGAGTTATTCCTAACCTGGACCTTTATTGGTAGCTTCAGGTCAACTAGAACGTCGAGTCTTGGAGTTATTCCTAACCTGGACCTTTATTGATAGCCTCAGATCAACTAGAACGTCGAGTCTTGGAGTTATTCCTATATTGGACCATTATTGATAGCTTCAGGTCAACTAAAACGTCGAGTCTTGGAGTTATTATTAACTTAGACCTTTATTGATAGCTTCAGGTCAACTAGAACGCCGAGTCTTGGAGTTACTCCTAACTTAGGCCTTTAGGCTGTTTATCATATATTCATATTGATGCGTGGTTATTTGTTCATCTAAACGACACTTTATACACACGCACACAAAACGACCAGGTCAAAGATCCCCTACATTTTTAGGCTTAAGTCATCCTTAATTCTGAAATGTCGGCCATAGGGAAGGCACTCAGTCCGTAGCACCAGTCGTCCAAAGCGGCGAATCTCACCAAATAGCGGGATTGATTGTAACTCTTATAACACACCCATAGCTGAACGTACGAAGAGTGTCTGATAACATCACGTCTCGAACCCAAGACCCTCAGATCGAAAGTCCGATCAACTAACTATTAACCAACCCAAGAATATCAGGTCCCAATTCCGATACACTAACTATCAGTCCAACCCAAGACCCTCAGATTCCAATTCCGATACACTAACTATTAGGCCAACCCAAGACCCTCAGATCTCAAGTCTGATGCACTAACTATTAGACCAACCCAAGACCCTCAGATCGAAAGTCCGATACACTAACTATTAGACCAACCCAAGACCTTCAAATCCCAAGTCCGATACACTAACTATTAGGCCAATCCAAGACCCTCAGATCTCAGGTCTGATGCACTAACTATTAGGCCAACCCAAGACCCTCAGATTCCAATTCCGATACACTAACTATTAGGCCAACCCAAGACCCTCAGATTCCAATCACGATACACTAGCTATTAGACCAACCCAAGACCTTCAAGTCCCAAGTCCGATATATTAACTATTACGCCACACAATTCAAATCAATAGGATAATTTAACTCCTAAGCATTCTTTTGAAATTTCGAAGTTTTTCTATCTCTTATTTGAGTCCATTTTCTTGTGCTAAGCTATTTTTTGGGAAATCCATCTGCTAAGCTGAAACAACGAACTGTAATAAAATGAAAAGTTTTATCTTATTATAATAAATAAACTTAGTATTTCGAGAATTGTTTAAGCTAGAAGTCTAAGTTCAAGGGAGGTCCAGTTCAATTTACACTTTAATCAACGTGTGTTTTGGGGTTATGAACAATTAGATAATTCTCGGAATACTAAGTTTATTTATTATATCTGCTATTGTGCGGCTATATAATGTGAAGAACTGAATAGTGGATAAT